TTATAGTCAAAGATGAAAACATGAAAACCATAAGTTAACACTACACTCTACAGTTTTGGAGCCTGTGTTCTTCCGAGATTGAACATTTTTGGGGTTGTCAATCATCTGCGATCCTCATCTTTCCTACATATACATTGAAAAATAATGTCACGGGTCTGTATGTTTAATAAATAGACCGGTGTCTTTATGTCATTCAAATATAAGAATATTTTGTTTGAGATATTAAAATATTCCATAGAAGTTGATCATCGGAAATATTTAATGCCATCTTTCCAAGTCAAAGGTTAAAACTATTCATGGAGGGGATGTAAAAGTAAAACACTCTTACATGCATCAACGTCTATTCCCTTCAAATACATGAAGGGTCATGACATGCATCAACGTCTATTCCCTTCAAATACATGAAGGGTCATGACTCCCATTCTTATTAATGAGAGGTCAATCTTTTTTCCTTGGGTGGGGTGATGGGGTTCCAAGGTCATTTTTGTTTCTTCTGCATGCATAGAAAGTTGTAGCTTTAAAGTTCTAGATAGTAAATCGAAGATGACTTGAATACAACATGAATCTAGAATTATTTAAAATTTAACTTTTGGATAGAACCTTAATGAACATAAATACTCCAGAAACATACTTTTAGTAAAACAATTTCATGATTTTTAAGAATGTTATCCAATATAAAACTAACCAGAGTGAATTTTGCATTTTTGAATCCTTTATTTTTTCACATAATAGAACAATTTATGTTGGGGGGGGGGTATATATATGCAATATATTTTTAATTTTTTGATAGAAGCAACCAATCCTCGAATTGGAGGTATATATTTTGGGAGATTATTCAAGAAATTTGCACTATCTGATGTGTCAATATTAAATTTAAACGTATTTCTCAGGTAACAATAAATTTATGATACAGCAGTAAAACGTCGCACTTCATGAAACAGAACAGAAGCCAAACGTAGCAATTACACGTGTCAAGAGTCGCACATACAGCAACCATACTCGCAATATTATCAGAAAACTCTATATTGCATCAAAAGTTTTAATCTTGTGAAGCATAAAAGAAACAGGAAATCATAAATGATTCATATAGTATTTACTATATCACTTTTAACACAAATAATGTAGTGTTAATCGAGTTTACCACTTTAAAAGCAAATATGAATAATCTAGTAAAATACATTAAACGAGTGTAATCTAAAGCATTTACGGAATTGCTCCTTATTTGTATTCAACCAACAAGGAATTCTACTGCATGAAACCATACTGGACATTAATAATTACGTCATTATCAAATGTACTATAATTTCTGATAATGAAGTTGACATAGACTGCCTCATTGATGTAAACCAATAGTAGCTGGTGTCCGAAACCAAGATTTTCTCGATTCGCACTTTACCAGCAGTGAGAACGGAAATCGACAAGCTTTTGGTAGAGAATAAAACCAAGTCCGATCCTATAGGTCAGATCCCTATTTATAATGAAGTGATCCTTTGTTCAAATCATGTCCCCTTGGGATAGGGTGTGACTACAATAAAAGATCAAACATATAGAAAAAAAACCTTCTAAGACCATGATTACTCAAAGAGATATGAAAGCACCATCAGTTAGTCTAGATTCAAGTGTGTGTGTTCGAAGGGGGATGTTGTGTTCACTTTTATATTTAATTTTTCAATACTTATACGATTTCTGAATTGTTTTAGACAATTTGTTCTGGTGAGCCATTAGGCCCATGGGTCATTTGTAATTTTTATTACATCACATGCATATTTATTAGAAGAAATCAGAATCAATTCATTGGCACAATCGTCAAACTTGTCAATGACCTGTCGGGTGAACATAATGTGGTTTTCATACCAGTATTTTATGAAAAATATTTTTTCATCTTATGTGAATTTTGATAGACGTTTTAATTAATTTGAAACACCACCATATATACATGTACATAACTTAAGCCTTTTCATTTGTGAAATTGTTATCCCCATCCTAAAATTGACAATAACATTCAAATAAAAAAGAACGAAATATGCTAGAACCTACCAAAAAGTTTTCTATGGCTTTTTCAGGCTGGTATAAGTAGACAGGCAGGACATTAGTTTTAACAGAGGATTGTTACCAATACATGTTGTAATGAAATTAATTATTATTTATAAAGCACATTTTACAACAACTCTTAAACTAACATAACTGCCCTAAGTGAAGAAATATTAATATAGAAAGCACAAAGAAATTCACTTTTACATGGATACCCACTTCCGCCCCAGCCCGGGGTTGAACTCTCGACCTTCGGAATCTGTCTCCTAGCAGTGCAGGAACAGCGCGCTAGACCGCTCGGCTATCTAGGCAAGTCAAAAAACTTGCTTTCGATGCCGATGGAATTCTCGCGGCGCTGCCCTACACTACACGGTCATTGAGAATAGAAGTGAGATACAGTTATTTGGACATTAGTTTTAACAGAGGATTGTTACCAATACATGTTGTAATGAAATTAATTATTATTTATAAAGCACATTTTACAACAACTCTTAAACTAACATAACTGCCCTAAGTGAAGAAATATTAATATAGAAAGCACAAAGAAATTCACTTTTACATGGATACCCACTTCCGCCCCAGCCCGGGGTTGAACTCTCGACCTTCGGAATCTGTCTCCTAGCAGTGCAGGAACAGCGCGCTAGACCGCTCGGCTATCTAGGCAAGTCAAAAAACTTGCTTTCGATGCCGATGGAATTCTCGCGGCGCTGCCCTACACTACACGGTCATTGAGAATAGAAGTGAGATACAGTTATTTGGACATTAGTTTTAACAGAGGATTGTTACCAATACATGTTGTAATGAAATTAATTATTATTTATAAAGCACATTTTACAACAACTCTTAAACTAACATAACTGCCCTAAGTGAAGAAATATTAATATAGAAAGCACAAAGAAATTCACTTTTACATGGATACCCACTTCCGCCCCAGCCCGGGGTTGAACTCTCGACCTTCGGAATCTGTCTATGTTAGTTTAAGAGTTGTTGTAAAATGTGCTTTATAAATAATAATTAATTTCATTACAACATGTATTGGTAACAATCCTCTGTTAAAACTAATGTCCAAATAACTGTATCTCACTTCTATTCTCAATGACCGTGTAGTGTAGGGCAGCGCCGCGAGAATTCCATCGGCATCGAAAGCAAGTTTTTTGACTTGCCTAGATAGCCGAGCGGTCTAGCGCGCTGTTCCTGCACTGCTAGGAGACAGATTCCGAAGGTCGAGAGTTCAACCCCGGGCTGGGGCGGAAGTGGGTATCCATGTAAAAGTGAATTTCTTTGTGCTTTCTATATTAATATTTCTTCACTTAGGGCAGTTATGTTAGTTTAAGAGTTGTTGTAAAATGTGCTTTATAAATAATAATTAATTTCATTACAACATGTATTGGTAACAATCCTCTGTTAAAACTAATGTCCAAATAACTGTATCTCACTTCTATTCTCAATGACCGTGTAGTGTAGGGCAGCGCCGCGAGAATTCCATCGGCATCGAAAGCAAGTTTTTTGACTTGCCTAGATAGCCGAGCGGTCTAGCGCGCTGTTCCTGCACTGCTAGGAGACAGATTCCGAAGGTCGAGAGTTCAACCCCGGGCTGGGGCGGAAGTGGGTATCCATGTAAAAGTGAATTTCTTTGTGCTTTCTATATATATATATATATATATATATATATATATATATATATAGAAAGGATATGAATGCCCCTCCCCCCAAAAGCATTTTTATTGCAACATGAAATGAAATGTGCAATTTTTCATGGTAAGATATGAGTTGCAGTATTTTGTTTATGAACGAACTGATACATCCGGTAAGTTGTGTTTTATACAGAGTGTGTAATATTGATTCATCCTTCAACTGTATGAAGTCTCATTTTTCAAGTTTTTTGAATACTATGGCTGCTATGGTGTCTGGAAAACGGTTGAGCATATAAACATTGAAGTAATAGTCAACTTAGCATAGACTAAAGACAATGTACAAATATTTACAAATATACTCCAATTATTTTATGTTTTAATGATTTGAAATCTAGAACAAAATTTCGAAAGAAATATTTAAAAATTATTGAATTTCCTATCGAAGACTTAATGGATACACGTAAACAAGTAATCCATTCATTTATTTTGCGGCCTTACAAAATACATACCTGTCAGGCTGATTATTGTCATAGATATAAGTGTACTTGAATTCTATGGTTTCGTGTCCCTTTGTATTTGATTTTGATCACAAACTACAGTACAATGTAGAAAACTTATTTTGTTACATAAATCAGCATCAACATAAGCAAAATAAGAATCAGCATCCAGCTAGGATCAGGATCAGCATTAAAAAAAAAAACAGCATTACCATGATCAGCATCAGCAAGTAAAGGATAAAATCAGCAATGGCATACTTAAAACTATCATTATCCTACTGATATCAGAAAATCCAATAAGTCAATTTCAGAAAAAAAAAATAGATAAAGAAAATCGGTTAAAGTATTCAAATTATGAAAACATACTGAGATATTGTTATCAAATACTTCTACAATGTATATGACATTTTTATTGCTGAAATTTATTATCTACTTCCGGTAGCATGATGCTACTTCCGGTATCATTGACCTAATTATAAAACAGCATCAGGATAGGGATAACTAGCATTAAATCAGCAAGCAAAGGAAGTATTCAAATTAGCATTGATGCTGAAACAAAACTAGTTCCCCGCACTGTTTTCCCGTCTTTTTGTAATTCAATGATCTATTGAATTTTCTGTACATATTCTTTTAAATATTTGGTTTAAGATTCAAAAAGTGATTGAAAATTATCTAAATGAAATACTTTCTTTTATTTTACTAGTAACGTCTCGTTTTTGTTGGTTTTTTAACTATCGAGATACTGTCTACTAGCATTTTCAAAATTTGATATGTTCCTGCCCAAAATACTAAGATTGTTTCAATTTTGATATTTAAGATCATGTTAATCAAAAAGAAGGTTCAAATCGATACGGGGGAATGGGATGCATATTTCTTATGTAAAGAAAATAAGATACATCTGTACTTGTAATTAGATCCCCAACTACACGCGGTTCTGCCTATTACGGTGAAGGGAAGGGGAAAATACTGTTGGATGACCTCAGTTGTAGTGGTGATGAGAAACAAATATGGGATTGTATGAAGCTACGCTGGTTTTCTAACAACTGTGTACATGGTGAAGATGTCGGTGTGGATTGCTTTTACTGTAAGTCAGTTTTGGTTATATACAATCAAATACTAGTTATGTAGCAAAACAATTATATTACATGTATATTTGCATAAAAAATTAAATACAGTGAAACCTGTCTAATCCGACATGCACTGGGAGATGAATTTTGTGTCGGAATAGACAAGGTGTCGGATTGCACAGTGTTAAATGCAAGGTATATACTAAAATGGGAAAGAAATTTAACGTCGAAATCCACAGTGTGTCGGATTATTCAGGTGTCGGATTAGACACTGTTTTCACTGTACTACCAAAAATATTTTATGACACATATACAATATGGCAATAGATATTTAACTACGAATTTGTTGACAATTTTAGTTCACCTTAGTGTATTTCTTTCGCTGGCCGTTTCACACCGCGGTTAACTTTTGAAATTATTTTTTAACTTTCCTTTGACATTACTGGGCCGCTTTCCAAACTTAGTGTAAAGCTCTTCGGGTAAAAAAAAATTGGAATATTTTGAAAATATTCTAAATTTGCAAACATCTCAGTGAAATTCTTAAAGCATGCGAGGACTGCCCCCCCCCCCCCCAAAAAAAATTTAAAAATATCTCATAGACTACCAGACCAAAATTATTCATTTTTTAACATTAAACTTCAATGGAAAATGACATTTTCTTTATTTTGACGTAATAGTTTGATGTTGTAATACCATGCAATGCAAACAGAAACAGAATTAGAGGACCAAAGTCTTTCTATCTGCATGGGTGGGCCCGGTGCTCCGGTGTTACTTATTGTAACGGAGACCGTTACTGCTGTTCCTCAAACGCTCAATAACTCCATTTGGTGCCTTAATAGTCCCCTACATTTACATATGGACCTATGAAACCGGAGATGATTATAGGTTTTCTCCACGTCTGTCTGACTGTCTATCCGTCTGTCTGTCCCTCAGTCTGTCTGACAGTCTGACAAATTTCAACACTTTTTTTTATTTTTAAAGGTTTCTGTAATTTGTTCCTAAGCGCTTGTAAATATTGAGCTAATATCTGTTATGCAACCTTACATGTACCTCGACGTTCTTAATTTTTAAGGATTCTCCGCAAGTTTTTCATAAACGCTTGTAATAATTAAGCTAATCCTTGAGTTAAAGATCAAGTTTGCATTTCGTTCCGCTTGAATGATTTTTGACAGAATTATGGCATTTTCAGTTTTTAATGGGAACCAGATTACACTTGCCGGTAGGGCAATAGCCCTACCAAAGAAGACATTGATAAATTGTAAAATTAATAATGTCTCAAAATTCTTCAAATCTCATTTTACAGCGTCATCTAATTCGAATCCTGCTTTTTATGCTGAAGCGTCGTCATCTTACCCAATATCAAGCATTAGCGCCAACCAAACTTTGATATTCAGAAGAGTTATCTACAATGAGGGAGGACATTATAACTCGGGCTCTGGAAAATTCACTGCCGCAATTCCAGGAACATACGTCTTTCATCTTGGTTTGAAACCTAGTGGAAATGTTCCAGTCAAGGCTCATATTATGAGATACACAAATGATAGACTAGCTGTTGTGGACTCTGATGATGGACATGGATATGTTCATTTCGCTAGTAATATGGCGATACTTAAACTTTCAAAGAACCAGATAGTATTTGTTCAAGTGGATAACCCCCAGTCCAGTGGTGCAACACTTAACAATGAATTGAATTTTTTCTCTGGATTTTTATTGCACAGAGACTTGTGATAATCCCGAAACATTAAAGACCACCATTGCAAAATGTCTAAGTAATGAAATGAAATAAAATCCCACATAGGGTAAATTTTTTTTTAGAAATCAACGGCAAGTCTTGTGGATTTTTGTTCGTATAAATAATATGAAATAATGTTTAACAGAGTCGACGCAGAGAATTTGAAAATGACATAAAGTCTCAAATTTGAACACAAAAGAAGACTAACATTTTGTTTTTATGTAAGGAAATTATTTTTTGTGTTATTTCCATATAATTTAATTCTGTTTGTATTCTTGTCTCTCATTGGTTGATTTCCAAAAAGGAACGCATAACATTTTGTATAATCTGGTTTGGTATGGGGACACACCCCCTTGACAACCAGCTGAATCATCTGTATCCATCAATCCCCTCATTTCCAGTCCTTCGGATTCATGAAAAATTCCAGATTTAATGAATGTACCTTTAACTTCAAACAGTTGCTCGATCTTACCTCATGTAAACAAGCATCATGGCTGCTAGATCTATGTATCAGTTTTTACCTCCCCTTGCTTCCCATCACTTCCGTTACTACGGTTGTATTATTGCGCGGTAAATTTGAACTAATAAAAACAACACAATTTTACATCCCCAGTTGTTTAATTATTTTAAAATTAAATTATAAGGAATGACTCTAATTCTTGGCCAGATTATCGAGTATAATATGGTTTGGGTCAGTTTACGCTTTTTTATAATCCGCTTCGCGGATAGATCCCTTTGACCTTACACATGCCGTGAGCACTTTGTTTTGATGGGATGAAATGAATTTTTAAAACAATTAGTGTAAAACAAGTCGCCTAAATTAAGACCCAGTGATACGTTATATTTTCTAATATGGTCATTATTACGCCCATAGAATATACAAACGTCGACTTTTAATGAGGTTTATGAAATCCCCGTAAATCAATTATCAGTGAATAGCATGCCTTGCTTTAAAAATTGCTCGTACTCATCAGAGGCTCATGAGTAGCAAGTGTTGGGAAAACATAACCTTTAACAGTTGTTAGTGGATAATTACTACATAAATACGGAAAGTTGATGATTGAGAAGCTGAAGTACATGTAATTACGTTTGTCATACAATTTTGTTGTTAGATGACCATTATCGTCTATAGGCAGAAAAACAAGATTTGGCAGATGCTTTGGGTTTTTTTTTTCGAAGGCATTTAGAAAGAGAAAATTGTCTTATTCTTTATACTAAATGACAGCAAATTCAATTATAAGTAATAAATTTTAATAGCCAACTTATTTTATATTTACTTGTTCAACCTGGGAAACTCTTAATTCTTGGTTCATAAAGCGGTCCCAAGTTAAGCAAAACTTAAGTGGCTGTTAAATTTATTCCTCAAATACTTGTAAACTTTTCTTCATATTCTGTCTTTAACTAAGTCACAGTTATCTTTGTCTAAATTGTTTTCTTTATAACAGGTAGTGTTATGAATGTAACAATACATGAGGCTGACTTTAATGGATCCCTCAAGTTTCTGAAGGCCTATAAATCCGTAGACTGTGGTGGAAACGATGTTGATAACATGTTCAAGAAATTGTTAAGCGTTATCACAGGAGAACAGAAACTCGTAGAGTATGAGAAGGAATTCACATCTGATTATCTCGAAATGTTTAGGGCCTTTGAAATAAGAAAAAGACAAGCTAGATCGGGGAACCACTAGTTAATATAAGGCTACCTTTAACTTTCATGAACTTTTGTAAAAGGCACAATAGGGACATGAACATATATCTTGAACAAAAATTTGGAGAATCTGTAAGATGTTATGGAGATAATCTCAAAATCGATAAATAAGAATTCGAAAAATTATTCGAAGATACTGTAAAGAAACTTGTCAATGAAGCTGAATTTTTTTACAAAAAAGAATCTGACACTAAATTAATATTGATGGTTGGAGGTTTTTCAAATTTTTACTTACTACAAAATAGGATAGGTGACACATTCTCTAACAAATGCCGTATTTTGTTTGAGGACAATCCAGAAATTGCTGTATTGAGAGGATCTGTGCTGTATTCACACCAGCCGCACGTGTACCAATGATCGAAAAAGATGTAATTGAGTGACCCTTGAGTCATATTTAAATTCAACCAAAAATGGAAACTCTTATTATTTTAGAAGTGTTTCAATATGCACATAGACAGTGTTTGTTACAGCTCTGTGAACACTCCTCATTTCCCACAACCAAAATAGAATTTAATGAAAACAAACAGTGATCAACCTAAAAAGTCAATGTAAGGCAAACACAAACCTACCAGAACATCAGAAGTGGAATTAGGTGCCATGATGGAGTAATCATCCCATATCAACTGGTCAACCCCGCCATGTGCGCCCTGTCGTGATCGGCCAATTGTGGAAATAGTAAACGATTCAGTAAAATAACGGCCTAACAATTTGTATGAAATTGTTGGTAATATTTGCCTTAATGATTAGTATTAATTGTATTTGCTGACAAGGACAATGTATTGACCATAAATTTGCAAAATATTTAATTTCAGAAAACTTATTCTTATTTCATCATTTTCTTTGTCGGTAACTCCCCCCATTGTTAAAGACATCACGATAAACAGAAAGGTTTGTTTTTTGTTGTTAATTAAGTAACAATTTAAGACTTTTTTTAGTAGAATATCCAAATATAAAGAAGGTTTGTCCGTTTTTTATGTTGCTTTTATTTTGAGATCAAATGATATTTTGAATACTAATAGGAATGAATATGAATATTGTTTGTGGTTTAAACGTCGTCGATATATCTTTTTTGTTTTGTTTTTGTCTTTATTTCATAAATTTTATTACAAGTGCATTCACATATAGATAGACTACTTATTTATAATCAGTACAAAATTCATTTCTACTTTTATTTAAAATTACACATTTACCTTTATGATAAATGTTTTATACATTTACACAGAGTGTAATTCAAAATTTTAAAAGGGGCATGGACACAATTTCAACCGATTTTTTAAAACCAGCTTTAATATTTACAATGCCAACGAAGGCATCATCAAATGATTAGCAAAAATTTGAACATCATTTGTTGCTTAACAAACAAGATACAGAACTAAAAGATCTTCATAATGTAAACAAGGCTCGTGCCTTGTTTTTGTTTTCGTATGGAAAAAAATACATTTCAATAACAAAATGAAATTCAGCAAATCAACAGAAACTGTCGAATCATTTTTAAAATTAACTTTTTTATTGAAATTATCTACTTTAACGAACATACGACGGTTGTTCAACAAAGTGTGACAGGGAAACAGTAAAGTTTTTTTTTGCTAAATTAAATTTTTTTTCTTGTCATAGCAAAATGTAATATTTTATGACCATGTATTTCAAGTTTCATGATGATATCACATCCAATAAAAAAATTATGAAAAAATAAAGAAAGCATGTAAGTGTACTTCGGTGCACGAAGCAAGCGTAATTTACGTCTTTTATACATGTAACGTCTTGATCTCTTTTTCTGCTATACACGCGTCTGCACATGTTAATTTACATCTATTTTTTAGATAAAAAACACTCTTGACAAAGGGGATTTTTTAAATTCACTACTGTCCTTTTTTTAAGAGAGGTTCAAATTTCAGCCAAAATTTATTCGAAAGATCACCTTACATTGTAGGCTGCAGAGAATACACATTGTTTGATGTCGTTCGTGGCCCAGAACGCTTCAATATCTGCGTTTAACAAACAGTACTCTACTTCTTACACGCGGTTACGTACTATTTTCGGTGAAAAACTATCATTGAATCTCATACCATTTAAAAAAAAACTTCTCCATTAGAATTTGTGTGTTATGTCACTTCTGTACCTTATTTCCCCGTCCCTGATGTTTATAAACCATATCCAAAACAATTTATTATATTTACATGCGCCGCTTACGCGTTTGACGACGTTCTTTTCATCAAACTCAATTCAAACAACACTTTGACAATCATGACACAAATCGTCTGTTTCTAATGCTATTTATATGAAAATTTTACATGTTATTTAGAATTTGATTTTAATTTCATTAATTTAAATTTGAGTTCAATATTTTACATAGTACCAAAGAAATAAAAGCAAATGTAATAGTTATATGCATATTCCGAATTTTTTTCGTGTGCCGACAGACCATATCGGTCTTCATATAAATCGTCCCAATATTATAAATATGAAAGATATATATATTTAAGAATTTGAAAATTCAGAAAACATTGAATATGTTAATCTATGCAAAATTCGGTTAGTATTGGTTGCATGTTTAAAAAGTTATAAACATTGTCGACGACTTTTTTGGGACAACCCTCGTATATTAGTATATTAACCTATGTAAACAAAAACATGATATTAATAGACCTTGTTTACAAAACAAAGGTTTGTAGCTATAAATCTATCTTGAATCTGGACAACAGACTATCAAATTTTTGATGATCATTAGAAAGATATTAGTTAAATATTTGTATATATGGAAAAATATATTTTGCAATTTTAGCTTAAACTGTGACCATGCCCCTTTAACTGAAAGGAAGTAAATAATATACATAATATACATATTTGTGGCATTTTGTTCATAAGTATAACTCTTGGTTGTGAAAACCTTATACACAGGCAAAAGATATCAGAAAAAAGAGGAATGAAAGGGGGTTAATGCAGAAAAGTATGTGTGGGGAACAGTATTTTAACTTTATTTATACATTTGTATGTGATCTTAGTAAATAATAACAAATAATAACATCATAAATAATTTCCTAATGTTTTTTATATTCTAAAATAATTGTACAAATTTTAATAGTATCATGTTGTGAGGTAAATGCAAAAGTTACAACATGATATAATCATGTTGTAAATTTTGCATATGTTACAAAATGATATTATCATGTTGTAAATTTTGCATTTACCTCGCCCTAGTAAATTTACAATTTACAACATGATGCTACTACAAATATTCAAGTTTAATATTCTACCAGCACTGTTTTTTCTAACATTGAAATACTTAATTAAAGCAATTTTTGTAAACCTACCGTCAAAGATAAATTCCTTAACATTAAGTCTTGATAAATTAAGTAATCAATTTTGTTGAATTTGGCAAAAAAGTATATCTTTCTTTTCGAAATTCATGGGAAAATAAAATTTATATATGAACTGTTCCTTTGTGTGACACCAAAGTTTTTAAACAGAAATATTGCAAAAATAAATTTTCAATTTCTTCTACGTCTTTTTGCAGAAGAAGAATGCCAATGATTCAATTAGTATGAGTTTATGAATATATTGATCGTTTTGATAATTCTTTGCAGAATTTGAAATTGGAACCAGTGCAAATTTGCTTCTTTTGTGACTTAAAAAAAAATTCGGTTAAAAAGAATATTTTGGAGTCTGCATCCATGTTCCATTAGTTTCACATTTTTGCAGTGCTTTTACTATTTCCTTTTTTTATTGAAAATATTGTACTTATCAGTACAGATATTTATGTTTTGTTGAGAATAAAGTTTTTTTTAGGAATAGATGGTCCAGTTTGTTCTCTTTATTCCAAAATCTGTTATAGATTGATTTTTTTAAACCATCATATTCTACGAAGTTTCTTTTTATAATCTGTAAGACACCCAAGACTTATAAATTTTCTTCAAAATCAAACAGATCTCTTACCAAAACAAAATCTGTATCAAAAATATAAATTTTCTAAAATATAGATAGGTTGTTC